CTCCCCTCGTTGCCGTAACCCGCGTCACTGTTTCGTTGCGCGGGTGTTTTGGCGTCGATGGCTCCATTTACAGCTCCGGGCAGTGTCTTGCAGCAAGGGCCGCCCAGTCGGCTTCGCCCAAAGGCCTCCCGCCCGGTCCTCAGCCATGCAACCGCCGCAGCGTGTGGATGTACAGATTTGGGACACGAAAGCTTGACCCTGGACCCTCTCCATATACGGAGGGTCTGCAAGCACCAATAAAATACCAAACTACACGAAAGTTTCTGCAAAGCTCGTGTAAGCTTTGACGTGTTGAAGATTTCGCGGCTTTTGGGCTGGTGGGCGGAGTTATGGTTCAGGATTCAGTTTTGGTTTTAAGATTGCTTGACTTATCGTCAATGCTCTTCTCCGATTGGTGATGATGACACAAACATGCGGCTTAGTAGCTTAACAGTAACATGAAGACCTTGCACCCATCGAAATGAGCGCGAAGGAGCACTGGGACATACTCTGACGGTCAATTTTGAACGGCACGGAATCACGGAATCTCGATCCACAAGAATCTTTGCTCACAGTGTCACTCTGATGAAAGGGCCTGATGAAGAGCACCTTTCCTTGCATTCCAACAGAATGGAAAGCATGCCATGTTGTCAGCTGCCCATAGTTTAGAAGCTGCCCCCACCCTGTAATACTGACTATAAGGATTATATCAGGGCCCTATTGTATTCCTATTATACCACTATTACAGGGTGGGGGCAGCTTCTAAGCCATAGTCCTCAAGTCTCCTAGCCGAAGCCCCCAAGACTCTGAAGGCGAGGTGCATTCTCTTTAGTGGTCTCCCCGTGATGCCAACTCTAACAAGAGCTTCCAAAGGAACCTTGTGAGAATCCTGAGAAATCAAACATGTGGGCTTCCGCACTTCCGGCACTCTGCAACTGAAAAATGTTCAGTCCTACTATTTCGTGCTAGCTATCAAAACACATCGACCGATTCGCTGGCGCTTTAAACACCAGCTAAGGCCCCAGCCGCCGGTCGGAGCCTCAGGGCTGGCCCTGCAGATCCCTGCAGCTTCGTGTTGAAGGGTTCCAAGTGTGCGCTGACTTCGTGGCCGACTCTAACATGATTTCCACGTTCTGGTGATTTTGATTGCTTTCTTCAGGAGCCTCACCAGGTTGCGTTTTCGAGCTTGGGAAAGTTAGCCTCACGTGGAGATGCGCAAACGACATGCAGTTTGCCTGCAGAGTCCTCGGGCAGTCTAAGATAATTGAAGACTAACCGAACCCTGTGACCCAGAGAGCCCCAAGCCCAAGCCCTGCTTGTACTGCTGGCGATGCTGTTACTAATACTATGCTGACCTTCATGATCGGGAGAAACACAGCCGGCGGACGGCGAGGGCAGGCGTATGGGATGGCCTTCCAACATGAGCCCATCGCTGCGTGTTGCGAGGCAAAACAAGTTTGCACAACCTTCACATCACATCCTAACTGCTACAGCCTGCACAAGTCTGGTTCCAGATAGTACCTTCAACAGGAAACTGCAGAACCAGCCCTGAAACTCTAACCTCTGTCCAGGCCTTAGCTTGTGTTTGAAGCGCCTTCGACTGAGTCGACGTGTGTTGGTAGCTAGCATGATGACCTGACTAAATGTTTTTGAACTGCAAAGGCCCTGAAGTGCAGAAGCCCACTGGGCAATCTTCATGAGCATCGGAGAGCATCCACAGCAGGTCTTTGCACACACACACGCATCAGCAGCCCTTCAACAACAGTCCCCACCCCCAGTTCATGCCATGAACGTCAGATGCCCGATGCTCCCATTATACTGTGCAAGTGCAAGCAAGGCTTCATGAGCATCAACGGCCCAGCGCAGGCCCACAACGGCACAAGCTTGCTGGACGAGCATCCTCACATCAGCAGGTGAAGGCTGCAAGCTCAAGACCAGCACCCAAGGCTTCAATCGCGTAGCACTTTTATCACTAGCCCTGAACCACACAAGCCGATTGATTGGGCGAGCATCATGAGCAATCGTGCAGGCCGCTTCGCGGTCGACGAGGTGTTGAATGCAGTTAAATCGGAATGATGATGATGATGATGATGATGATGATTTGTGTGCGCCAGTCTGTGATGGTGCGTGTTTACAGAGGTTCGTTGATGTAGAATCAACAAGAGTATCCCAGTATCCCCTTGTGGTCGCTAAGTTTATTTTTTACAATAGAATGTATCCACAAACACCGTTCGAGTATTTCGAAGGTTCAATGTTAATTGCTACTGCCACGGCAGGAGCTGCACCACCACTAGGGGTTTTCACATCCGAGGCTTTCCACCAGCGCATCTTGCAGCAGGGCTTCCATGGCGCGCTTGGACAGGCGGTTTCAGCACTGTTACAGTACAGCCAGGCATAGTCCACAGATCATCTCCGGTGGGTGGGCGTCCGGGTCTGTTACGACTTGGAGGTCTTGGGTCTTGCATTTCTTTGCCGGTTTGAGGGTTGGGGGGGTTGTTTTTGGTTTTACTTCGAGTGGCTTTCGATCGACCCACGCCCGTCTCCAAGTCTCCCAAAAACCTCCAAAGAAGGAACCCGTTGAGACTCTTATCATCGAATCTACATAGCTGGGGCATTTGGTCAGACCCTCTTTCTACGGGCCTGAATCCCAAACCCACAAGCCTAAATCCAATCCTCGACATCTCACTCGACAGGCCTCCTGTATGGAACCTTTCTAGAATTCTGGAGAACCCTTGAAGGAACTTGTAGAACCCTTAACTTAGGCCTTGCAGGCCTCATGCCAAGCATGTGGACAAGACTTTGCAACATACTCCTACCTGCGACAACGCGTGGAGAAATCCACCTGCCCCAGGCTGTAGACCAGCCGGCAAATCGTCCGGAGGCGCATCATTGTTATATCACAACATGTCAAAGTACATCGCACATTATAATCATATGACAAGGGCACTACATCGTGTTAAGTACATTCAAGCCATATCGTGCCAGGTTATTTCAAGTCTAGGTTACATTTTGCAGCACAGAGATTTGCTACAAGAAGATACCTACTATACCATGCTGTGTCAAGCGGGGGTTGCAGTACGACAAGCATGTTCGACAGATACTGCTGGTTCCGGTCAGTGGAATACTTGTGGTCGGCTGCGTCCGTTTCAACTTGGATGGTTTTATCTTGCTGGTTGCATGCTTTGGGTGTTTGATCCTCGTGTCTTGTTACTTCGTGTGATTTCCGGTGGCACAGAAACTGACACATGTAATTGGAGCTGATGGCACCAATCTCATCCACCCTAAACAATGTATGTTCAGGTGCATACCTGCATAGCGGTCCTACTTTGGTTTGGGCTCCATCAAGCAGTATGCAATCCGGCCCCGAACTTCAAGACCCACGCCCTCTCTTCGCCAAACCTCGGAAAAGCAACGCGGAAACGCCGCAGAGGCGCCCCCCCAACCTGCCGTCCGGCAGGCTGCGAGCAGGGCAAGAGCAGGATAATCCTATGCCATACCATTCGACATATACACAACATGTGCATTTTTTCTTTTGACCGTAGTGTGTCATGAGATGGTATCGTGCGTATCACACAGTGGCATACCCATTTCATCTTATGCCTTATGATTTTGCAGGACATGACTTGAGAACTTGAATGTAAGTACATAGCACAACCAATGTACATCACGCAGTGCTGCAGTACAGTACAGTTGTACTTCGCATTTTTTTAGCAGCGGTCTATTGCGTCGTGCTTTGTTCGGTGACGTCCTGTTACGCCATAATACACTGTGTCGTGTTATGTTGCCTTATCCTTATGTGGTGTTGGTTTTGGTGCGGTAGCTGAAGAATTACGCCTTTCCTTCGGGAAGGCAGGGCAGGGCAGGGCAGCGGCCAGTTTTGCAAGTCCTTTGCCGAACCCTCCAGCCTTCCCCAACCCTTCACCAGCTCTCCCGTCAGCCCTCCAGTTCCGCATGTTTTAAAACATGGCCGGGCCAACCGCCCCCTTCACAGAGGTAGTATGAGGCATCTGTTTAACCGATTTTATGTCCGGATATTCAAAAAGCGTCGCCGTACTAGATAGAAGTAGAAGTAGAAAAATCGATGCTGCCGGATGCTGTTGCAGGTGGGGGGGACGCCGGGCGTCGCCCGCGACAGCGCCCTCTGGGTGTCGCCTGGCATGCAGTGGTGGCTGTGCTCACATGCCAGTCCCGCTACGGCACATTTCGGATTCATGGTTCCAGGCGTTGTTCTCGGGTATGTGGGTTTGGACTGTTAATCACGCCGATACTCAGTCTACGGTGTGCGGCTAAGGCTGAGGTGAAGGAGGAGGAAATGCTCCAGGCGCTGCCACCTGGTTTGCGAATTCATGCAACGATACGACAGGAGTTCTACATGGCCTTTACATGGACATTTTGAAATTTTCGGAGTCCGCAGGGGTCTCGGCTAATGCCGGTGTACGGTCGGAAGAGTGCAAAGGAGGCTTTGGGAGTGAACTTTAGTGATTTTACGTTGTCAGCTTTGCCGGACCGTTGAAAGAAATGGTCACTTGCTCCGGAACTCTGTATCTTTATTTCTATCTCTGTCTCTGTGTCTATCGCTGTCGCTATCTCTATTTCCATCTCTATCTCTTTCTGTATCTCTCTGTCTCTCTCCTAATTTATATATCTGCCTGACGATCAGCGTCTGCCTGCAGATCCTCCGTTTTGCAGCACTCGGACTTTTTCTAAGTTATGTTGCCAAGCCGCTTTGAAAACCGGCATTTAGTCGTAATTTCCCGTTGCAGTCCGTATGTAACGAAGCTAAAAAAGGTATCCCGAACACTATTTCTTGTGAATACCCCTTATGCACCCGCCTCCCCGGCCCCGGAGCTGACAGGCATCTGGGAGGGTGTGGTGCCCGTGAGATTCCGGAAGGGTGACCGGATACCCTGAACAAGTCTATTGCGATAGATTTGCGGCCCCAGACCCCGGAAGAGTCGCCCCAAAAAATCTTTTGCATAAGATACGATGGTGGACTTTTCGGGCAGGCCACCACCACCACCATGGGCTGGATGGAGCAGGAGCAGGAGCGAGGAATCACCATCACCAGCGCAGCAAGCACCTCTGTCTGGGATGCACACACGTTCAACATCGTGGACCCACCAGGTCAGATGGACTTCACCCTGGAGGTGGAACGGTCTCTCGGTGCCGCGGCTGTTTTGGACGGCATGGCAGCCGTCGAGCCTCAGAGCGAGACCGCTTGGCGCCAGGCCTGCAAGCACAAGGTGCTGCGAGTGTGTTTTGTGAACAAGATGGACCGCGAGGGCACGGACTTCTACGCGGATGTGCAGATGATGGCGGACAAGCTCGGCACAAATCCTGTCCCCGTCAAGCTTCCCGTCGGAAAGGGCTCCAGGTTCAGGGCTGTCTTCGATGTGGCCGAGATGAAAACGTTGAGTTGGACTGGCGAGGGGCTCCGCACGAAGCATGACGTGGATAATCAGATCCCGGAGGGCATGGAGGAAGAACAGGACGAAAAGGTTCCGGAGGCCTACCTGGAGTCTGGTGAGACAACACCTTTGGAAGATCTCCAGAAGTGCATCCGCGAAGGAACCCTGACACACAGCTTGGTGCCAGTGCTTTGCGGAGCGGCCTTCAAAGACAAGGGTGTGCAGCCCTTGCTCGATGCCGTCTGCGTCCGTGAGTATTTGCCCTCGCCAGTCGATCTTCCACCAGCCAAGGCCAGGAACTCCAAGAATGAGGAAGCATGAGTCAACAGCCAAATTCAGACTGATCGGTTCATTCATCTGTATCTCGTCCCTGCAGGATGAGGAGGAGGAGATCGAGCGCAAGAAAGAGCCGGAGGAGAAGCTCTTGAAGGCGTGTGTTTGCGTGAGCTTGCTGAAGGGTACTGTGTGGACAGGCGCAGTCGGAGCGGCATGGTGACGGGTAAGTGAGTGTTGAAGCAAGTTATGCCTCAGGTGGCGGCGGACACATACATCCTCATGGTTCTTATGCGCCTTGGCTGACTGTGGACATGAGCTTTCAGCATGGCTTCTCAGAAGATGACTGAACCACGATGCCCCTTCAGGCATGCCAACAAGCGCAAGGCCCAGGCAGGCGACATCATTGCCGTTGTGGGCCAAAAGGACACCACAGGTGACGCCCTGTCCGCAGTGGACTCCCGAATTGCGACGGAGAAGATGGAATTCCCGGAGTTTGTGACCCAGGTCTCCTGTGAGCCTAGCTCGCAGACGGGCACGGACAAGACGGGCATCGAAGCCGGGGAGGCTGCGACTGGGCAGGCAATCCAGCAGATCGATGGTCAAAAGCAAGAGTCAGTGCGCCAGGCGCTGCACAAGGTGAGCCAACACTTCCGGCAAGTCTTCAGTGAGATGTTTCCGGGAGGTATCGGCCAGCTGCACGTAACGCGACAGGCTCAGGGCGCGAATGAGGAGAGTCAGGGCCAAGCACAGTCCTTCCTGTCCATGAACCAGCTGTCCGAGGGCCAGAAGACCCTGGTCGTTTTGGGCTGGGCTTTCACGATTCAAAGGCTGGAGATTGCTTCTTTCTGTTTGTTGGATGAGGTGGATGCAGCTCTGGAGGCCTCCTATCGCACAGCGCTCGCGAACCTCATCGCACGCATGGCCAAGAAGTCACAAGTGATCATGACAACAACGACAGATGCTACCGTGTTTACCAGCGGAACCGAGCAAGCCGCATCGACGCAGTGAGCCGCGAAGTAGCCGCCGGCCTGCTTCGTGAGACCGCTTGGCCCACTTGTCTCGGGCAGCCGGGGCGGAGGCTCAGAGAGCTCTCGCAGCCTGAGGCTGCACTGAGGCGGCAAGGCTCGGCCATGAATTCCGGAATTGCAGCAAATCCCACCGTCCAGTTTGTTGACGGTGCAGGGCCATCGTGGGACACAAGCCAGTCTTCTTGGGTAGACTGCAGTGGCGCACAAGTGCCAAGCATAAATACGACCCACACTCTGATCACACGAAGTTTCGTGTGATCAGAGTGTGGGTCGTATTTATGCTTGGCACTTGTGCGCCACTGCAGTCTACCCAAGAAGACTGGCTTGTGTCCCACGAAGTTTCAGATTTGCCGCATCCTCTCAGCCTCTCTCAGAGAGGCTGAGAGCATGCGGCAAATCCCCACTGGGCTTGTGAACTAGCACGGCCGCGTACTGCGGCAACATTCTGTGCGCTTGTTGACTCGTCATCTCAGGGTGCAGAAATGAGTAGATGTGACTCACTTGTGGCGGGATTGAGAGCATTCGCAGATAATACCCCGCAGATCCGGTGAACTTTGACCAACCTCGCAGTGTTACCATACCCATGATAGGAGGACAAGTCCCGAAGCCCATATGCCCCTTTCCCCGTAGTTTGAGCTGAAAGCAGCCATAAGAAATAAACCTTGAAGCCCAAGTCCAAAGCCAAAGCCTAAGCTCCCACAGCACTTCCAGTGCGAAGCCGTAAATTCCAGAACCTCAATGCCCCGAGGTTTAGAGTTTTTGGGTTTGGGGCCTGGGGTGTTGAGTTTAGAGCTGAGGTCCCGCAGCCCCGCAAACTTCCCTGAACTCTTTCACCACAATTCCTCAAATGAAGTCATCGTGCTAAGACCATGCCAGATCATACCAATCGTCTTGTTACGGAGCCCGAAACCTTCTGTCCACATTGCACCGTGTGCCAGAACCTTAGGGTCCATCTTTCTGACTGAGTGTTTAGCATTCAATGTTGCACAACAAGCAGCCGGCCGGACCTCCGGAGATTAAGCGTTCAGGTGCTACTGGTAGGGGCTTGTGGATTCAGACATGTAGGATCGGCGAATCTACGATTTGGAGTGGTTTCTGAAAGAGAAGCACATTTCTTGGTGGCGCTGCGCTTGTGGGGCAGAGTCTCGCGCTATAGCCTTTCCCGCCTTTTCCAGGACCCCTTATATGCATCCTAACTAACGAAGCTGGTCGCAGTCACGTCTAATGATACAAGAGGGTTTTGGTGGGACGAGCAGGATGAGAGTTTGCAGGCTTTTGGCCTAAGCTTGCAACACATGATTGCTGAAGATGGCTACACGCTAGAATCTAGAATCTGAACGCTGGGTCCCCTTCTAGCTCAAGCGATGCACGGTTGCAGGCGTTTTCTCGGCAGCTGCCTGCGAGAGACCTGCCAAGATACTCGGCTGAATCTGGGTTTTCAGTTACAGCGGCGCTTGGAGAATTTGTTGAATTCTAGATAAGGTCAGGATGTAGGGTTCAGGGTGCAGGTGGCGGTTCTGAAACTTGGGGCCACCTTATCCTGTGTTCCGGACGAGGGTCCTCTAAGTGATGGGTTTGGGGTCTACATTTCCTATAGTAGCGGAAGTTCTTTAAGTGATGGGCTTTCTGTCTGCATGTAGTTGCGGTCTCGCTGATGCTTTGGTAGGGGCTCATGGCCGTTTAGGGCCGCAGATCGCGGTCGGCGGTTTGAGGGGGGAGGAGCTCCGGGGTCTACCGGTTTCCTATTAGGGTTTGGGGTTTAGGAAGTTGGTGCAGGCATCGGACTCTTATGTCTTTGTGCATCCGACAGGTTCCCTCTCTCCCTCCCTTCCTCTCCCTCCCTTACCCAGGCCCTTCTAAGCCCGCCCATGCCCTGTACCTTGTGCGGAGAGATGAAAGTCTGCATGCAGTATAGTATAGTGGTTCACTGCAATGCTGATGGGGTGATGGTGGACCGCTTTCAGCGTCGATAGTCTTGACAGCTGAGCTGATTCACAACTTCTGGCACCGATTGGCTTTGGGTAGGCCGCAGTGATGCATGTTGGCTGCTGTCCGCTCTGCAAGGCTTTGGCAGCAGAAGAAGCCCAAGAAGCCAAGCTGAAGGCGCGTCTGACGGTGTAACACCTGTTGTTTCGGCTCGAGGAGGTTGCTTTAGACTTCTATGGGCTATTCATAGACTCCATGCGACTATTGTTTCGTTGATGTCTCCAGTGCGTCGTCGGGTGGGTAGGTAGCAGCTCCCAAACCCGGACCTCAACCCTACCGTAAACCGCTAGCAACCCCTCACAGCATCTCTTTACAACTCAGCCAAGCCTACTCAATATCAACGAGTCAGAATATATTTATATTTAATATTTATATCTATATTTATTTTCATCTTTGTTCATACTCATTCATATTTATATATTTATACATTTATACATTTATACATTCATACATTTATATTTTTATATATTTATATTTTTATGTATTTATATATTTATATATTTATATATCTATATGTTTATATATTGATGTTTTTATATATTTATATCTTTATATATTTATATATTTATATATTTGTATATTTATATATTTATATATTTAGATATTTAGATATTTAGATATTTATGTATTTAAATAGTTGTATATTTACATATTTAGATATTTATATATTTATATCTTTGTATATATATATATATATATATATTATGTGTGTGTATGTCCATACATACATACCTAGAGCACTATGAGATCTATAATCATAATCTACATTCTCAGACATCACGGAGCAGCCGCTTCTGCAGGAGCGCCGAGAGCTCCAAGAACGCCGGGGCCTTGCTCTTTGTTGCTTTCTGGTTCGGACTAGCATAGCGTTTGAAAGGGCTCTGTCAGGATGTTCTTCTCCGGCTTGAGGGCTGCGTGGAGGTTGTTTGGCCGCCCCGAGCCGACCCTGAATCCTCCACATCGTCAAATCCGACAACCCAGAAGCTAAGCACGTGAAACTACCGTGGACCTCAACAATCCGAAAAATCCTGAACCCCAGGCCCGACGGCGGTAGCCGGTACCGAAGCATGATCAGCTTTCGAGAGCCCTTAACTGAAGCCCCGAGCCTGATGCCCTGAAGTCTTAAAACCCTGCAGCCCCGTAATATCGAGGCCTTCTGTCTTCGTCGCAAGGTTCTTGGGGCATCAGCTCCGCAGGTCAACCCCCAAACCTCAATTACTCCCTATATCCCCGACCCTGAGCCGTAATCCCCCCAACCTTTGCCGCCAAACCGCGAACCCCCCAATCCTGAACCCTGAAATACCGCTGCATGGCACCCTTTAGGCACCCCTAAATACTGACCTGAAGGGGCCGCCGCCTTCAACAAGGTGTGGTCTCGCTGATGCTCCCAGGGTTTGCACGTGGGTTTAGGGCGGCTGTACGATTTTCGCATTTGGGTTCAGGGTTTAGGGAAGATGCAGGGTGTATAGGATGGAACGTCTAAGGTTCTGGGTTCCTTTAGGCTGTAAGTCTAAAGCTTGCGGTCTAGGGCGTGCGGCTGACGCGGGTCGGAGATTTTTGTAGGGGCTCAGGGCCGCGGATCGCGGTCGGTGGTTTCGGCTTGCTAGTTAGCAGGGTTTGGGGTTTAGGAAGTTGGTGCACTCTTTCATTAGATGCTTGTGTCTATATGCATCCGAGCCAGAGTTCCGGAGACTTGCAGCAGTCTCTCCGTCGCAGTTCGTGAATTGAAACCCAGCCCTGAAAGTGCACGCCAGTTTTGCACCCGTGGAGAAGTGAGAGAGTCTTGCCATCTCAGCCATGGACGACTACAGTCTTCCCCCTTGTTCCTATATTTCTATAGTACAACTTGGGATTTCAAAGTGTATATAGGATGCACGGTTCCCCTTCCTCTCGCTCACCTTCCAAGACCTACCCACGCCCCACTAAACCCGCCCAAGCCCTGTACCTTGTGCGGAGAGATGAAAGTCTGCATGCAGCATAGTGACTCCAATACTGATGGGGTGATTGCTGACGGCTTTCAGCTTCGAAAGTCTTCACAGCTGAGCTGTTTCACAACCTCTGGCACCGATTGGCTTTGGGTAGGCCGCAGTGATACATGTTAGCTGTTGTCCGCTCTGCAAGGCAATGGCTGGACAGCAGAATGCGGTAGAAGAAACCCTGAAGGTTTTTCTGTTTTCGGATTGAAGGGTGTAGGGCCAGCCTATGGCACAGCTTGGCGATGAGAGTTCCGGGGTCTCGTGGACATCAGACCCCAAAGTACGCACTGTAGTTTCCACACTTGACGGTTCGCAGTCGTGACCAACAAAGATGCTGTTCTTCATCATGCTCCGTCTCATCGTCAGAATGACTACCCGAGACGATCCAAACGCAGAAGCACGCACTTTAATTTTCGGCAATTGGATCCCAATCTCAGCACTAAACCCTACAGCAGGCTCGCCAGCTGAACGACCAAACCGAGCTCCTTGTCGGCGGCTGAGCCGCCGCTCGTAGCCGTAGTAGTAGCAGTGTTATTAGGAGTAGTCGTCGCGGTCGTGGCAGTGGTAGAGGAGCAGTAGCAGCAGCAGCAGTAGCAGTAGCAGTAGCAGTGGCAGTAGCAGTAGAAGCAGCAGTAGCCGTAACAGTAGCAGCACGTAGCAGTAGGAGCAAGGAGTAGCGGTAGTGACAGCGGTAGCGGTAGCGGTAGCGGCAGCCGCAGTGGTAGTGGAAAAGTGGTAGTATAGTCGGGGTGGTAGTAGTAGTAGTAGTAGTAGTCGTAGTAGTCGTAGTAGACTACTACTACTACTACTACTACTACTACTACTACTACTACTACTACTACTACTACTACTACTACTACTACTCCTGCTACTACAACTACTACTACTACTACTAGTCTTCGTGGTAGTGGTAGCTATGGTATTCGTAGTCCTAGTCGTAGTCGTCGTCGTAGTAGTAGTACAGTAGTCGTCGTCGTAGTAGTAGTAGTAGTAGTACTAGTAATAGTAGTAGTAGAGT